CCCACAAAGGAGGCCACACCCACACAGTAGGTTCGAACAATTTTTGAAACCCACCACTGCTTCTCATGTTAAATCTAAAGCAACAAAATTTGTTACTGTTACAAAATTGAAAGAATAAAAGGACCCAGCAGATCAAACACTATATATCACTCTTCCTCTATATTTTGAAACCCACCACTGCTTCTCATGTTAAATCTAAAGCAACAAAATTTGTTACTGTTACAAAATTGAAAGACGAAAAGGACCCAGCAGATCAAACACTATATATCACTCTTCCTCTATATTTTGAAACCCACCACTGATTCACTCCCACGAATCTTCAGGTTGCGAATGGAATGGGCAGGCTCCATTTCATTCGTAACTCGAGGACTAACTGTACCGCAGATCATAGGTCTCACAAAATATGTATCCTAAAAAAAAGAAAAGAAAACATAGCCTCCTATTTAAATTTGTTTAACACCCCCCCCACCCCGACGGTCCTACCTGCTGTGTTTGCTGCCGCTGAATGGCTCGCACTTTGGGAACTGGGCTCTCTCGGGAAGAGGAAGACTGTTGCCGGGATTGATTTCCCTCCTGAAGAGGCTCCATTGCCATGGTGGCAGATGCCACAGACATGCTGCCTGTGCTTCGAAGGGAAGCACTGTGGGGAAGTGAGTGGGGCGATCTGACCCTTGAGCCGGAACTCGCTTGGTCCGCTTTGTGGATTTGGACCTGCACAGTGTAATTCTGATGAACGGGCATAGCTCGCTTGTCCAACAGGGTGCCCTGACCAGAGAGATCTTCATTCTGGGTGCTGCGCTTGGCATAATCCTCCATGCTGCTATTGCTGGGTACGCTAAGTTTAAGGTCTTCGCTATTCTGGCTTCGGGAACTGGTGACACTCAGGTTATCCAGGCTTGATTCCATGGACACTTTAGGAATTGGCTGAGGACAATTGTTGAGATGATAAACTGGATTCTGGAAAAAAAGGGCCTGAAGGATGCCTTGCTGGTTTAATGCCGAATGAAGAGGCCTCCTGACTTGGGGTGCAGTCTGTGGTGTTCTGAGCTGCTTGATATTTGCCACCTGGATGACCGAAATCTGACTGCCAGATAAACGTACCGGGGCCTCGTGCACCATGGATCCAGATTCACCCTGGTTAACGTTGGGATCCTGGAGATTCATCAGCGATATGCTCCGGACGTTGGGCAGATTGGTCTCGTCGCCTTGATCTGAATAAGTCACACTCCGGGATGACGTTTGCTGCATCAAGAGCAATTTGCCTTTGAAATATTCCTCATTTGCTGGAGGGGCTGACTTCAACTTGCGCTCACTGAGAAACAATCAAAACAATCACCGTCTTAACATTATGCCTGCTTATTTGCACGCACACAAACTTGTTTCTGCTTAAACAATTTCTCTGGCTCCATATTAATCTCCATATTTGAGCCAGAGGTGGGTTCCTACCAGTTCNGCCAAAAGCGGGACGTCTGGTCACCTTATTCTAACTCTATTATTCTATTATTCTGCACAATAACTTGGACATTAGCTCAGTGACCACATCAAGTCCATTTCTGAAGAAGTGAGTATGTATGCGACTTTGAATGGTAGCTCACATGCCTATTGGAAAATAGGCTGGAAAGACTAATAATTATAAGTATGAATTTCAGATGGCAGATTTTTCACACAATCAACTATATCCAGGATGCCAATGAGTCACCCAGGACAGACACTGAAGCATCTCCCTCAGGCCTGAAACAGCTCTGAAAAGTCATAGCTAAGCTGTAAGCAAAATTGCACCTGTCTGTAGTTAAATGATGCTAACTTTAGCTTCCAAGGGTGATATGACTGAGCCAATACACAGCAGTCTTTTACAATGCGTAAGGAAATAATATGCTTTCTCAAATATTTCTCTGACACCATAAAATTAGACCCAATATTGTAATGGTTTAATGAACAATAAAAATGAAAAAAACCACCTCTTAAAAATGGAAAGGGGATAGATTGAACATGCACTCTAGTCAGCAGTGGGTTTCACATTTTGTTACCATTGGTTCGCCTTATGTACGCCCGCTCGCTTTGTCCATGCGCCCCTTCTACACATGCGCCTGGCCATCTGCATGTGCGTTTTGCTCATGTATGTGCCTTCCGTGCATGTGCCCGCCCTCAAAAATGTGCCTAAATAGGATGGCAAAAAACTGGGGCGGTTGTGAGGGTGGGAGGGCCCACCCAAGATTTCTGCTACTGGTTTAGTTGAACCGGTATGAACTGGCTGAATACCACTTCTGACTCTAGTGGATGTAGAGTTGATTGGATATTGATGAGATATTGCTATATCATATAATACAGGTAGTCCTCAACTTACAACAGTTCACTTAGTGACCATTCAAAGTTACAATGGCATTGAAAAAAGTGACTTATGACCGTTTTTCACACTTACGACCATTGCTGTATCCCCATGACCATGTGATCAACATTCAGAAGCCTGGCAACTGGCTCATATTTATGATGGTTGCGGTGCCCTGATCCCCTTTTTGTGACCTTCCGAACAAGCAAAGTCAATGAGGAATCCAGATTCACTTAACAACTGTGTTACTAATTTAACAACTGCAATGCTTCACTTAACATCTGTGGCAAGAAAGGTCGTAAAATGGGTCAAAGCTCACTTAATAAAAACATCTCACTTAACCACATAAATGTTGGGCTCAGTTGTGTAGTAAGTCAAGGACTAACTGAATTTATCCTACGTAGATTGTAAACAATAACAAAAAGGGTAATGATATAGCTGTCTACCGAAGGAACAGTTGTGGACTGCTCAATCTGGTGGACTGAAATAAAATAGGAAAAAACCCTCTCTGCCCAAAACGGGTGTCTGTGCATGTGGTAGTTGCATATTTCCCTTTTCCTGAACTGGTCTCCATGTGCTATGCAAGTTAAATAGGAGAAATCAGTCAGAGGATTGTCATCTTGGCTTCCTTCAACCCACAGATGAACAGTAGTTTCCTTGCTAAAAAAGCAAATGGTGGCATCACAGTTTATCAGGATAAATAAGTGGGCGTAATTATCCTCAAAAGTACATATAATTATAGCACTTAGAGTTATATACTGCTTTGTAAAGCACTGTAGCTTTACAACCCTCTCTAAGCAGTTTCCCTTGCCCCTGGTTACTTTAATTAGCCACGGTGGCGCAGGCTATTTCTGCTCACTGCCTGCAATTCGGCAGTTCAAATCTCATCAGCTCAAGGTTGACTCAACCTTCCAGCCTTCTAAGGTGCGTAAAATGAGTACCCAAATTGTTGGGACGATATGTTGTCTCTGTAAACCTCTTAGAGAGGGCTGCAAAGCAATGTGAAGTGGTATATACCGTGTTTCCCTGAAAATAAGACAGGTTCTTATTTTCTTTTGACCCCCGAAATAAGCGCTTGGCCTTAGTTTCAGGGAGGTCTTATTATTTTTGAGGTGCAGGAGGTGGTGAGCATGGTCACCTCATGGCTGCTGCTGTGGTGCAATATTTTCAGGGAGGGCTTATTTTGGGGGAGGACTTATTTTAGCGCATGCGCTCAAAAGCNTCTTTCTTTCTTTCTTTCTTTCTTTCTTTCTTTCTTTCTTTTTTCTTTCTTTCTTTCTTTCTTTCTTTCTTGCAGAGATGCAAATATATTTGGAGGGAAAATCTCTCTCACTGTAACAGTGAACTCTTATCTCCCTGACAGTCAAAAAAAAATGAGAGTGGACCAGTATGAAAAGGAGAAGAAAACAAATTCTTATTTTACAATTAATGTAAAATTGAGTATATTCACAAGAGAACAGGTGTTTTCCACTTATCCAGATCAAGAATCAGGTTAAGAGACTAAGACTATTTAAATATGAGATTAAGAATATTTAAATGTATTTGAAACTCTGTTTTTGAGGAAACAGAGAGTACAGAAGTTTAATTCTACCCCCTCCCCTCCGCTCCCCACTGCCAAAGAGGCTTAGTATATTTATACAATCACATGAGTTGGAACTTGCTATTGCTACTACAAACCTTCACAGACTGGCTGCAATCCAGACCAAGATCCATTGAGAAGACATGTTCTTTCTGGGGAACCTCTCAACTGATAGCCCATTTCGCAGGAGAAACGTATTAGGCTTTTGACCTTGAACTCATCGCCGAGTCTAGACCCGTGAGAGGGCATTCCAGGGTCATCACAATATCCTGGATTGTTTCCTAAAAATTATGAACAGAATTACATTTAAAGTTGGGATGTGCACACTGTTTCAGACTCATCTTATTCTGGACCACTGTAGTAACAGATGCTTTAGGCCTTGATTCCAATATCGAGGCTCACTTTGACTTGCAATCACACACAAACAAGTTGGAAACATTAGCTTTGTTTTTAACTTTTTCAAAATAGACCAAATTAATAAATTCCCTACCTACCTATTGACTCACTGAACGATCTTTCAACTATCATGCTAATCATATAGCTCCCTTCGTATAAAATATAAATTTCTAGTGCCTGTCAGATTTTATATTAGAAAGTATTATATCATTATTTCCGTCTCACTCCTCTGCGTGGTCTGTGTCTTCCTCAATCATGAATCCTCTACCGGAGGCCTCAGAATTTATTTTCTGAACAGTATCTTAGCTACTCCTAGCACTGCACTCTTCTGGACAGAGACATCTGATGTCAATCCTGGGATGAGTTGGAGCCAGTCACTCAGCTATGAGTCTCATAGCAGCCATTTTTGCTAAATAAAATAATGAAACTTCTGCTAAAAATAGGAAATGAACATTAGAAATATGTTAGAAGCTCACAATTAATCCATCACAAAATTACCTGAACAATGGGGGAGGGTCCCACTCCAGCGGCTGTTTTCTTGGCACACTCTACTAGAGTTTCCCAAGAGAGTTTGCCTTTCTGCGCATGAATACTGAACAACAGATCCAAATGTAAATTTATCTCCTGATAGAATTGCATTTGTTGGCACTCCAGGATGTCCACAAGATATTGCTATGATGAACAAAAGAAAATATTGCAATTGTTCATTTGTTGAAGAACAGTAGCACAGTT